GCATTCCAATACTGTACCATGTCACACGCAATAGGTATCATTAGCCACAGGTATTATGCTGAATCTTCTTCATTACTCTTAGATTCTAACACTTATGGTCCTTTTCCTCCTGCCATATTCCACCCGCATAACGATTTCCAGTGGGATCGTCACCAATTTATGCAGCTTTCTCCCTAGCAATGGTAGTTACTGGAACAAAATCTCTCATTCTCATCTCAGGAATGCAGACAAACCCACGATTCAGTCAGATTCTGCTACTCCAGGGAAAATACACTATGGACTTTCCCAGTCTCACGTAAACTCCTGTTGCCACCAAACTAGGGAGACTCAGGACAGCACTGCCTGCTCCAGCCACGCGTATCAGGGAGAAGCTTCTACCGCAGCAGTAATGGATCATATCCAGCTGTGAACTCAGACACTGATCAGTGACAGATGACAAATGAACTCTGAACATCTCACCTCCATCTTCACAATCTTCAGGAGCTTTGGCTTTCTTACAGAGCCGTGGATCAAGCCACGTGGTGGTCTTGGTGTTATGACTGTGGAGCAGAACACACCCCATTAGAAGGAGAGAACTCCCTCAGACTGAAGAAACTTTGCTTTAACTTGTAAATATTTACTACCCTGTGCAAACTGTAGCCGTTATCTAACGTAACCTTTATTTGTGCCTCAGTCACATCACAAAATGTTAAAAAAAGGCAGCAATGACGCGCAGGGGTACGAGCACACTTGGGGACCCTCCGGGACAGATGTGAAATGTTAGAGGAACACCCTGCCCTGCCCCCAAAAGCTCGTGTGGGAATATCAGCTGTTTCTACCTGAAAAGAAAAAACATTTATAGCCCCTTCTTATGCTTAACTCTCAGTAAGGTTTTTGTTTCCTTTAGAAATTAATGAATGAGGCTGTTTCACAAGTGCAGGTAGGAGCTGCTTTCCCACCCTGGGCTTTAATCCCTGCTATTTGTATTTTTAAGGGTGCATTCCCAGCCAACGAAAACAAACATCGAAGAAAGAATAAACAAGTTCTCGGATTTCAGAGCAATTTGCCCGTGGAGGTTCCTACGAGTTCCAGCTCACCTAGCAATACCCACCCAGCTTTGCGCAGGGAGATACAAAACTCAGATTGCAAACAAACTGCCTTTGCACGTGGAACCGTCAGGCTTTCCTGCGCGATGCCATCGTACCAAGCGCGCAGCACAGATGGCTATCGGTACGGAATGGAACAGCAGGAGCATACTGAATCTCGTACAGGAACAGAAGCGGTAAGAGCAGAAGGAGAGAGGTGTAGGAGCAGGAGGCAGCTTCCCAGGCTGCAGCTCGTCAGCACTTCTCCCCTCGGCAGGGCACAGCGACCCCTCCGCCGCATCAGCCTACTCACTCAATGAAGTAGATCATGCCAGTGTCGGTGTAGGCCATCTCCCAGTTCTTGGGCAGCGGTTCCAGGGTTTCATCCCTCGACAAGTAATTCCTGAAGTCCATGGAGCTGCTTGTCTGGTTGTAGCTGGGAACAGGTTTCACCCAGTCGGGAGGCTCTGAATGCTTTTCTTTGTTTTCTGCAGTTGTTCGGGGAAAGTGTTACTGTTTGTCAGATGTTTATGTTGCTTCTCACAAAGAACCACCCTCTTAATCTGGCTACGAGGGGATGTCAAACACGTCCCTGTATGTGATGTGCATTCTTCCACTTTTTTTTTTTTTTCAGCTGTGAACTTTGAAAAGCTGACATGAAAACCCTGAACTCTGCTCTTCCCCTGCCAAACAGAATTAACCTCGTGTTATGTGTCTGAGCCTACGCTGAAAAATCAACACTGGCGGAAATCCAAGCTGACTGCACTTTGTTGCTGTTCCTACAGAGAGAACAGTGTTTGTAATGCCATCACCCCCCCCCCAATCCAACTAATATTCCTCAAAGCACCAGAATGAAATGTAGAGAAGACCCAAACTGCCAATAAAACAAAGAAAAAAAACCTCCCCAAAATCCCTGCAGAAACCTTTCAATGCAAGCCTCCACCCTTCAGTCCTGAGGTTATGCTCAGGGTCCTCCATCACACAACGATGCCCGTGACCTTCACCCAACCACCAGCCCCGCCACCGCGCCTCTCTGTGCCGTGGCGCTGCGAGCCCCGAAGCTTGCAAGATTAAGTCAGGTTTGGTCAATATAAGCCTGTCTTAAACACTCACACACAGGATCATCTGCAAATGCAACGTGACGGTTTCTCTCCGCCATCAGTTCTTCCCCCTCGAGATGAGTAACCATGACAGCGAAAGGGAAAGGGCATCCTGCCAATCTCTGAAACGTCCGACTGGACGCTGCTCCGGTCTCAACGCACTCTGCTGTATTTCTCTCCACAGACTCCCCCCTTCAGGCAGCTCCAGGTTGTGCGATAGTTCCCTTCACCAAAATCATCTGAAAATCTTACAGGACGAGCTGGTGCTGCCCCTTAAACCAATGATTTCACCAAGATCTCCTGCACACAAATTCCGTAATCGCCTCAGAATTAAACAATAACATTTACAGGGTACGAAGTTATGCTCTGCAAAGGATTCCGTTATTTGCAGAGTGGATAAATTTTTCCTTCCTTCTCATGTAACTGGCTGACAGCCAGCACTACATGTTCTCTACCGAGCAGTGCATTTATGATGCAATTGCACATCTGGCTGGGAGAACAGCTGTTTCTTTTTAAAAGACAATTTCAAAATCGAGTAAAAACATCATTCTGAAAAGAAAACTGCCTTCAAGCTTCACCAAAACTAAGGAAGCGGTTCAGGCAAGCATCAATGCCATTCGTATACTTCTTATCCACCCATACAACGCTCCGGGGAATTTCACCCCTTGTCAACCAACCTATTCCTCCGCTGCCATTAACGGCCTCCTTTTCCTCCTCTTCCTCCTCTTCAGGGAGAGAACTGTCCATCCTTTGCATTTTGCTGACGGACGTGGTTCTTTTCCTCTGTGATTCAGTATCAAAATCATTGTCAAAAAGAACTTGATCCACTGGATCAGGCTGGAAGGGGCTGGGCTCCGCTGGAGGCTTCGGGGTACCATAAAAATTACCTGTCAATGAGACAGAAATCGAGACGACTGAAACGCTGGTACCTGCTGAAAGCACTGGCAGGGAAGGTTTTACTGCTCACATAATGCATTTTTGGTGAGAGACCTGAACTGTAACTTAATTTCCTAAAGAAGACATCGGCACCATTAAACACCAACCAACAGTCAACATCTGTTTATTCCTACATTGCCTTTTTGCCGAGGATGCTATGGGACATCAGAAAACAAGAGGTTTAATTCAAAATTTCTATCCTGCCACATGTTTTCAAAGACGACGACAGATTTATTGCTTTGCCTGGAATTCCCTGATGCTCCATAAAGAGACTTGGGGAACAGTCCGAGAGAAGCAAAGCCGTGCAAATCAATTGTTCTTACTCCATGTCCTGTTTAACTGATTAACAGTAACATGCAGCAACAGGAACACGCTAAAGTCAAAAAGCAAATTCATTTTGTGCAGAAACATACAGTATCTACTTACATAAAACCAGTTACAAATAACTGACTTAAAAACTACAGTCCTACAGTTTTGCTCTGACAATGCACTCGCTAAACAAATCCACTGATATGGCTTCAGCAACAAATGATTTGTACTTGAGAAAAACAAACAGATTTTTACTTCAGTATTTTAATGTCAAATACAAAGACTGGGAATCATCTGTTGTTTTCTGGAAAAGAATTTCAGCGATTGACCTCTCCCCTGACTGCTCATGTGCTTTTTATTAGGGAATTGGGCGCACAGCAAGAAAAAAAAATTCCTGCTGGGGTAACTTTTGGTGGCTGGATATGGTTTTGACCATGTAAAAAAACAAAAACAAAACCTTCTGAAAGTATCAGTGAGGGCGAGGCTCAAAGTGGTGACAGTCAAATAAAGGGAAGCTATGGGGAAAAAAAAGCACTAGTTTCGTCTAAATTTGCTTTGATTTCCAGAGACAGGACGGTGTTACCAGACAGCACGGGATGCGAAACAAAGAGGCGTGGAGCCTTCCACAGAATTTTCTACTTTGGCCATTTTCTTTTTCTTTTCTTTTTTTTGGGGGGTGAGGGGGTAAGTATCAATCTAATTCATTCCAGTGCCAGCAAAACCACCACCTACCAAAGGAGTCCTCTAGGTGCATGCCTAAAGCTGCCTGAATCAAATATATGTTAAACATATGCACAAATCAGGCAGGTTTATAATCCGGTAAATTCTGCTGAGCATCAATAAAAGCTGCACGTGCTCAGCATTTCTGAAAATTTGGCTGTAATTTAGTTGACTTCGAGCATAACGGTACATTCGAAAAACACCAGCCAGATCATATTTCAGCTTTTATAAACTTAGATACAAAATGCAATGCAAGATGTTTGCCCTGCCTTCTGTTCATGTCAAGAGCTAAGCCCTTCAACAGCAACGCGCAGCAGAAAGCAGGCAACCACCACTCGAAACCCACCTGCGACCAGGGCCTGCTCCCCGGGAGCGCAAGACATCCCGGGCTGAGCCACTCGAACCGGTCTCTCCTCCCTCTCCCTTCAAACAAAGGTAGGGTTTGGTCCATCCCCCCACCCCAGAGTACAGGGATGTGAGGAACCTTAAAGTTATCTCTGAGTGCCATCAAATCCTTTAAAACAAACCAAAGCAAAGCAGAAGCCCATCCCATGGTGGCAGCTCCAGGGCTCCTCCAGATAACCAGGTCCTGACGGTTCACTGCCTTCATCACAATGTTCTTCCCCATCACATTTAACAAAAAAAACCCACACGTTGCTACAGATTTGGACAATCTTGTCGAGTACTGTTCAATTTTTCATTGCAAAATACTTTTTTTTCCCGCTGCTGTATCAGAATTTCCCTTGCCTTCTGTCCTTTTGATGTGCACCTCTAAGAAGAACATGGCTGGGTTCTTAAAGGTTTCAACAAAATTGACTATGAATGCCATTAAAACAAAATTCTAGTAAGCACAGACGAACATTTTCAGAATGCTTCCTCAAAAACACAATAGGGAAAATAACCAGACTGCATTAGGACTGGTCGAAAGGACAACCCGTGACTTACTAGAGAGCTTCAAAACAAGACCACTGCTCCTCTTCACAGGTACTCCAAAAATAGATTTAATATTGCTGCTCTACCTGTGCCATGAGCATCAACGGGCAGGAAAAATGGCACCTCCTGGATGCAAGGAGCTACCCTTAGACCAAGACACTGGACACGAGTACTGGGTCCTTGTTCCCATCCCATTAAACGTCATCAACGTACCATCGTATGTTCCGCTTTCTAGCAAGGCTCCGCTTTCTTCCAGCGCTTTAAACTGCTCAACAGGAATGAAATTATAGTCTACCCCAGGGACCTCCCCATCTCTGGGAGCCCTTGTAGTGCCTGAAAAGACAGAGAAAACACTCTTGTAAGATACTTAAGTGCTGCTCGTTTCCCCAGTGCTGCCTGCTGTACAAGTCAGTAAAAACAATGCATTTTTGAATCCTTTTACAATGATGATGTCACTCCAGTAAGGTAAGAGTTAGAACACTGGCGAGCAAGTAAACAATAATGTATAAAAACCAGGCCAGTAAATTACGTAGGAACGACAGTTCTGGTATTGAGGAAGGAAGAGAAAAAGAGCTGGGTGAGGTGGTAATTAGAGAGAATTCTTTCTTACGCTCAGTGAACCGAAAACTTGTTCTGTGGAAGCTGAGGACGCCTGGGCCAGGCAACAGCAGCCTGGGGTTCTGGGGAGCTGTTTAAGAGCAGTGGTATTTTAGCACAGCTGGAAGGGTGCTGCTTCTCCCACTGCCTCCACCAGTCCCAGCTCACTCATTTGCAATAAGGGCAGTGTGCCCAACCGCACTGGATCTTTGAGCCACCAGACTCATAACTGGGCACAAACCCTATTTTTTTTCCATACTCTAACACCAGCTATAGGTCAGCTTTTTCAAAGTAATCAGCAAATTGCTGTGCTAAAGCAGAAGTCGTCACAGTGTTCTGTCTATAAAAACGGGCCTCCCATAGTTATAAAAGCTTAATTAAAGCTCTCCTGGGGAGGACTTCACCGATTCATTACTGCCTATAACCGAACAGCATTTTAAAGGCAAATGTCAGCTTTTTCTGGCGGCAGCATGAAGAGAAGCTGCTAGTGAACAAACTGCCTTTCGCTGCTACTGTCTTCTAAGACAGCCACAAACTCTTGGGCACGCTCAATACGGTAACGATGCTAAACCGCAAATGGGATTCCTGCAGCTACAAAAGCACTGGTGAACAAACTTTTACATTTTCAGTGCAATGAATATTTAAATGCAACCAGTGATGAGCCTTTTTGTGAAGGGAACCTTTGAGACAAGGTAGAGGACGATCTTGTGATAATTAAGAAATGAAATGGTGAGAAGGGTGAGAAGCAACGACAGGATATTTGGCAGCTGTCAGAGCATCCTGTACCTTGACCGGTGCTTTCTACAAACCTCCACTGGTGGGAGCAACAACCTTTAGGCACCTCGCTGAAGGCAAGTTAACTCTGGTGTTGGCTGGACCGAGAGATGCAAGCAGATGCTCAGAGCAGAAGGGGTAGCGTCAGTGAAGGGACAGGTCCATCCAGATTCTCTGACTAATTAATTTGTGCTGGGACACTAACGTTTGTCCATGCGTTGTTCTTTCCTCTTCTTGGGCCACAGATTCACTCTCCCTCTTGCGCCACCTCCTTGCACTGTCTTGTCAGGATGAGCAAACGGCAGTTCCTCTGCTTCTTCTGCCATTGCCACCCCTCCTCCCGCTGCGCTACTCTGCCTAACGCACGCGACCCTTTCGAGGCCGGAGGTTCCCCCTTGCGCAGAAACCAGCCCATCGACAGAGATCAGGACACGTCTGCACTGCTTGATCATGCTGGGGAAGGTTTATTCCCGTGGTGGCTGTGGTGATTCTAACAACAACTATGGACAAACTTACGCTGAATAAAACACAAACATTCCTGAAATACTCCGAGCTTTGAATGCTGAAGTTTCTGCTGTTTCACCAGCCCATGTTGGCCGCACCTTTTCATTGCAACTTCAGATAAAAACTACACCAGCAAAGCCGTTTACAAAAGTTCCTGCTGCAAGGTAAAGCTATAAACCAGGTCAGGAGGGAAGGCACTTAAAGGTCTCGAATTGTGCGGCAGTTAGCAGGATCAGATGGAGTGAGGCTGATCTTTACATACTTACAAGGGATGGTTCTCAAGTAGAGGTTGTCTCTGATCACTTGCTGGAGTTTATGGTCTATCGAGCCCTTCTGGAACTGAAGGCTCAAGTAGTGGCGCAAGTCTTTGTTGATGACTTTTCCTTAAAAAACAACAAACAAGAATAACTTGTAAAAATGGAGCAGGGTCTCGCATTTCACCGCTATGGACATCTCAAAAAAAGAAAGCAGCAGGAAGAGTTGGGTTGGTTTAAATGCAACAACCTGAGCAGAAAAGCCATTCTACGGTTCCAAAGCCTGACTGCTGGTGTGAACTGGCATGGTGACTGTAAGCACAGCGGAGCAACGACCACCCAACCTCAGTGTCTCCCAGGCAAGGCAGTGACAATACTCTGGAACTGTTTTGAAATCAGCAGAAGTATTACAATACAAAATCTATTACCAAAATCAAAAGTCTCTGCAGACGGGACACTGCTTCAGAATGCAGCGATAACGTTTTCTGTCCAATTTACACCTCCTGGCCGAGCACCTGAACTCAGCGCTTTGTCACAGGGGATTCTGCGTTCTTGATATTATAAAAAGAAAATATTTTTGTTTCAAAACACTGCATGACAGAAGAAGGGTTTCTTTACAATGATTCCTTTGCAATACTTCTGTCGGGTACCATTAGTGCATCTGTCACATCACTGGATAACCACGGCCCCTTCAGCACGCACAGAACTGCGCTCTTGTGTTACTGCTTCATCCTTCTGACAGAAGGGCACAAGAGATTGTTTTGTACCCTGTCATCTCCCCAGAAAGCACATTAAACAGGGTTCAGTGACCTTGATAAATTCAAGTTACGTACGAAAGCAGAACACTTGGGGCTTTAGGGAAAAAGGCTCTTAGTCTTTGTCTTCAAAGCTCGACACAGAGGTGGCCAGTAGCAGGCACGTGCTGGCGTACTGCAAAAGCTGGAACGCAGAACTGCTCCTTTTAGGTTATGTCAGCAACAGGTTATGAAGGCATGAACTCGCTGTAGGAGTGGTTCTGACCAGAGCCTCGGAAGCCTGCTGAGACCTGCTGGTGACGAGACCACCCCAGATGGCCCAAGAATGAAATGGGGCGCAGACCCCCATCAGTCTGAGCACAAGGCTCGGCTATGCCTTAAACCAAGACTACTGTACTTATGTGAAACATCAAAGCTGAAAAAAACCCCAAACCAACAAACCAAAGTCACCAAACCCCAAAAAACCCTTCCACCACCACTAACCGAGTTTTCCCAACCGTGTGGCACTGCTGTAAAGTCAGCTGCATGTTTTGGTTTTGGCAGGTTCGTACTGTCCCCTCCCTTTCTGCCAGCTTAAGGGCAGATGCACACCTCACCCACCTCTCTCAAACACCACCTCGCCCGCCACCATTCATCAAGGGCAAACAGCATTTCCATTTGCACCTTGTTCCCTCCAAGCAAAGCAATGGCATGTTGGAAAGCACCTGAAGGTGAAGCGCAATTACCTACCGGCCCTCTCATAGAGGTCTGTGCTGTCCGTAACTTGACCAAAACCCAACCAAAAGCACCCCAAGCCCCCAGGCAAGCAAAGCAGCCCAGCACGCACGACCCCAGCAGCACAGGCAGCACCCAGCTCAGCCCTGAGCTCCAAACGAAGCCCATTTCTCACCCTCCTTTAGCACCGCCATTTATTTAAAAATTATGTCCAGAAACACAAAAAGCATTCTACGGCATCAAGAGGGCACCATGCCACAGCCCTCGCGGCCTCCCAGGAGCTGCACCAGCGATGCAGGAATCCCCACCAAGGCGGGGTGGTGAGCAGCATCCCCTTCTCCCCCCGAATCCTTCCCAAACACGAGGCTCGCAGCAACTGCGCAGCTCCCCCCGGGGTCCGACGCTCGCTGCCATCGTGACAGTGAGCCCCCAGCTCAGTTCCGCATTTTGCCATCATGAGCTGTTCTTTATAAAACTTTGGATTCGCTTTCTGCAGCATAATGAGCAAAACATGTCATGGAAAATGAAAACAAATGGTGTAATCTCCACCAAGAAAAATATTTTCCATTTGTTACTACAAATCACTTTATTGTTTGTAGACAAGATGGTTTCTCAACATTAAAAAATGTTTTACCACTGAAACGGTTCCTCCATCTCCCTGTCAGAGCCAGATCTGTGGCACCGCACTTTAACGAGCGTTATGTCACTCGGGCCGATCGATACAGGCGTGTTTCACTCGGCGGATGAGTCTGGTCGTTAGCCACGTTCGGAGCGCTGCAAGTCGGAAAAACTTGGCAACGGGTGAAAAGCTGCACTGGGTGCAGAATGACAGGGGCTTTATTTACTCACTCAGCTCGCCCTCTTCATGTCTTCAAATTTAAACGCTCATAAACCCTTATCAATAAATATCAACTCAGTCAAAAAAAAAAGTAAGAGCAAAGCAGCTACTGAGGATATGCCGACATTGAGGGGTTAATCCCAACATTAGGGCCTTAAAGGTTGGACTCCACTCGGAGACAAGAGGACTGCACTGAAGATTGAAAGGGTTGCCTGGGGAGAGCAGCAGAAAGTCAAACAAAGAGCAGGCAGAGAGAAAAGGACAGAAAGTCCCAGAGAGAACGGTGTGCGTAGGAAAGCAGGAAAATAACGCAGCAGTAAGGATGCTCTAGGCAACCTCCAGAGCTTGTTCTTACGCAAGAGCCAGACATTTCCCCCTCCAGGAGCTGAACATGCTCCCTTACATTGTTCCATGCAGGCTTTTAGGGAAGCCTCATGTATCAGACTCCCCCAAGCGACCTCATGAACATCGCTCGGTGTTTGTTGCGCTGCTGAGCAGCCTCGGAAGGAGGGCGCACGCAGCACAGGACCAGTCGAGAGGAACGATGCACTTCGCATCGTTCAGGCTCTGCAAGATGAACAGGCACAAGCACCTTGTTTTCAGTTTTAATTTAAATTAACCGCGAAGGAGCTGTTTAAATGAGAATACGCACGCTGCAGTTCAGCGAGGAGAACTAAGTGCCTGCAGAAGAAAGAAAGGCTTGCGTACCACTGCAGCAAAACGCAGCGCTGCGAAGGACGGAGGCGAGCATGAGCGAGAGAGACACTGCCAAAAACGGGGGTGGTGGCTTTCATGTCTCGTCACCCCCCAAACTACATCGGTAAAGCTGCCTTTGCCACTGCACCTGAGCAGGACAAAGATTCCTATTTATGCATCCAGCCGGTCACGGTAGCGCTAAAGTGCACAGCCCGCAGTTACAAACAGGCGAGTATCGCATGGGGCTGCTCGACCTCAACCCAAAGAAGTCCATTTCTAAATAAGCAGTGTTGGTAAAACAGCAGAGCCCGAAGTTTAAATAGGTAAATAAATTCTAAGAATTCAATCTGTGAAGATTTTACACTGCTGCCCAGTAATAAGTCACTGCAAAATAACATCACGAGTACATCTGGCTAATGCTGCCGGTACGTGGAGCACCTGCGACAGCCCCCACCGATCGCTGAGGACCGTGTGGCAATGCTCCACTTCGTTTGATGCACGTTACGCAGAGGGACAGAGGTGACAACTTCCCAGAGGTACGGCACATCACGCTCGCCGCCCCACGCCAACACCTCCTACCGACAGCGGCAGCTATTGAGGAGCTGCAGCGCGGACGGACGAGTCAATGACTACATGGCATTTTGCTTTCAAACTTTGAAAAACACTGTTAAAAGCGATTTTTCGAAGCCGCCGTTTATCAAAGGCATGCTACCGCCCTGTTAAGCTGTGTCATTCATTCCTAGGGCTGACACTTCACCTGTAGCATTTACCACAAAAACGTGTTTTAAGGGAACCAGCACAAACCCAGAATGCGTTCCCTCCCTTTGGAGCGCATCTGTAACCGCCCGCCTGCAGTCCCGCTGCTGAGCTAAAGGGCAAAAAACCCCAAACACCCCCAGAACGCCAACCCCGAAAGTTCAGGGCAGCAGCTGCGGCCTTTGCCCAGCGCAGGCAGGAGTGGGGCCTGGGCCGGGGGGCTCGGGGGCGAACGGGTCCCTGAATGGGACCCCCGAATTTTCCCCCGCGCTGCCCCCGGCCCCCTCGGCGCGACTGCCCGGAGGCTTTCGAGGCGCTGCAGAATGGAAAAAGCGCAGCTCAGAGCCTGCTCGGCAGTGGGAACAAAGCGGGGGGGAATGTAAACAGAATGACGGAACGTCATCAACGCAAACAGAATTTCACAGCCTCCAGGCCTGCGCTCGGCCGGGCCATGACTGCACAAGGCAACCCAGAAGGTGAAAATTCCAGGTGAGACGCACGCTAAGGGCTAACGGAACAGCCAACCGGCTCGGCTCAAAAGCGGCTGAAATGGGAATTCCCAGGGCCCATCATCTGGGAAGCAGTTCCCATTTCATTAAAACCAGGCTATCAATACACAAGGTGAGATCGAGCAGTCTTCGACATGACCAAGCAAAAGCCATTTAAAGAAACGTTCAGCTCCATGAAGCAGATACGTCACGTTAGGAAACCAAATTATAATTAGCGTGCAGCATGTTAGCTTTGATATTCCTCAGCAACTACGCACACACAGTAGTTTAGCACAAGTTACAGATCCGAACACATGCATTCACTAAAGACAATAGATTATTTCTAAAAGCATGCAAGAGAATCACCGTGGTCACAGAACATGGCAGCAACACAGCCTCTGGTACCAGCACGGCGATGCTGCCCACCTAGCAAATGCACCCCTACATCCGCAGGGCAAGAAACATGTGGGATGTTCAAATGATGTCAATTATCCTAGAAAGAGACAGCAACATTTTGAGAAGGCCCAGCCCAGTAAGGAAGCGGAGGTGACGACCACATCTGGGCCAGCGGTCCATCTGGGAACGGAGATCCCGGTCCCGTTAGGGGCTGAGCCCCGCTCGGGGGGGTTTCTGCTTGCTCACTGGGAACCTGTGGCTTCTTTGGAGAGCAATCAGGCTCAGCCTCAGGTGGAGCATTTACTTTCTAGGAGACAGGGAATAAGAAATTCGACATGTTCAGTTCTCAGGACTCAATAAGCACCCATACGCCGTCGCTGATTACGAGCTGCTTTGGAGTTAAGTCACTGCAAGGATGTTCGAAAGACCAACAGCAGATTGTCAGCTCGGGAACGTGACACGCATGCTTCTGTGTTTGCCTTTAGTGAGGCTCCAACAGCAGTCGGTCCGCACCGCTCTGCTCCCAAAGTCTACGTTAATCACATCTTCTGATTGCCAGACCCGACATCAGGAAAGGCCAACCACTGACTGATCCATCCAAGATTCTCCAAAGAGCCGTGGTGGGCATGGCCCTGGCTCGGACACCATGAGGGCATCTTGATCTGCTCCATCCTTGGGACGAAGCGACATTTGTCTGAGAACAGAAATCTGTCACAAGACGTGGATTTCCCCTGACAATGAACGGAACAGGCAAGGTAAAGAATTGAAATGATTTCCCAGAACAAACGTGGGAGAAGAGCCAAATACACGAGAAGCTTATTTTTGGATGTGAAATGCAAGTGATGTATTTTACAAAGACAAAATTAAAAAACCCCTTAGATTATTAGGGCAGGAAAAAAAAAGAACAAAAATCTATTTTAATCTGTTCTGGCCATAGTGACAGACTTCTCATCTTCCCCCTCAACCCAGGATTGTTTGCAGGGTTGAGAGCAGACCAACGGACATCAAGACCCAAACTCTTCTGAAGGTACCGACGCCGTTACCAGCAGAGGCGCATCGGGCAGCGGCTCGGGAAAGTTATTCGGTGAGGGAAGGGAACGTCCTGAGGACGAGGGGCTGAGGAGCACAGGCAAAGCTGAACTGGACCATTTGGGAATACAGGCAGGTATCAAAGGCGGTATCAAGATTCAGAGTAATGCTGTAGGGAGAGAATATTTTTAAAATATATTTTAAATTCCTCACAAAAGCTTTCAAATATTCATTCAGATCAACAGAATCTCACTAAAGCCTCCTGGGCTGCCTGAATTTCCTTCTACTAAAGGTCTGCAGAGAGCAAAATTATTTGGCTGAAGACAGGGACAGCAAAGATATTTTCATTAAGCCATGCTGCATGCGGTGCTGCCTCGTGAGTGTCCCCCAACAGAACGCGGACATCCTGAAACTCTGCGGAGCGGAGCCATGGCAAAGGGTCAGCACCAGCTGCGGCACGGCCGTGGGAACGGCAGAGACAGCCCAGGTTTAGGTGATGAATGTACACGGATGAGCAACAGGCTCGGGAACAAGCGGAGCAAATGCAGAGAGGAGAGAGGGGAGGAGCTGCAGCCTCACACGGCACCCATGTGCAGAAAATCCAAATCAGTCTCGTTATGCAGTTCTGGAAGTTATTCCAGCATCTGGAGAAAACATGTTCTAACAAAGGGGAAAAAGAGTATCTGAGAAATTATCAACACCTTGGGGCAAAGG